CTCTGGGATACTTTCGATATATTCCTGTAACTTTTAAAATAAACTCCTCACTTTCTGTGACAAGAAGGCTTTTGTGGCTTATTCTTTCCCTGCCGTAGCCCTGGAGTCAGCATTTCCCAGGAACCCGTGTTTTCCTGTCTTTTCTGTGCTATGGTCACCCACCCTCAGCCAGTTGTTAGCTTCATTAGCTTCAGGATTTCACCTCCTGTATTTATTTTTCAAAATTTAGACAATACCTATTAAATATTCCTCCTCATTCATTCTTATCTGAAAAAGAACTGAATTATAGATATTTATTAAACTTATTTTTTTTCACTTAAAGAGCCTATCCTAGAAATCACTATATATGAGTTCACAAAAATTTACTTCATGTTTTTGTGAAATCTGTATGGTATTTCATTTTGTGGTGAACAGTTATTTATATAATGTCTTGTATGTGGAGTATGTCTTTTAATTTTATTTTTGGAAGTGTATCTTAAGAGTAAATTCCTAAAATGGTATCTTCTTGTCAAATGGTGAACACATATAATGTTCTGTTAGATACTGCCAAATTCTTCCCATTGAGCTAAATCTATTTGCTTTTGTTCAGTGTTATTGGAATACAGTTGATCTATGTTGTTCAGTTAGTCTCAGGTGTATAATATAGTGATTCAGTTATACATATACATGTATTTATTTTCAGATTCTTTACCCATACAGGTTATGTGGAACATTGAGTAGAGTTCCCTGTGCTATACAGTAGGTCCTAGTTGGTTATCTAGTCTCTATATAGTGATTTCCCTGGTAGCTCAGACAGTAAAGAATCTGCCTGCAATGCAAGAGCTGCAGGTTCAATCCCTGAGTCAGGACAATTGCCTGGAGAAGGGAATGGCAACCCACTCCAGTATTCTCGCCTGGAGAATCCCAAGGACAGAGGAGCCTGGTGGGCTACAGTCCATGGGATCACAGAGTCAGACATGACCGAGTGACTAACACTTTCACTTTAACTCTGCATAAATTAATCCCAAGCTCCTGATTTATCCCTCCCCATCACGTTTCCCCTTTGGTAACCATAAATTTGTCTTCTATGTCTGTAGCTCTATGTCAGTATTGAATATAAGTTCATTTGAATCATTTTTTAAAATTAGGTCCACATGAGTGATATCATATATTTGTCTTTGTCTGACTTATTTCACTTAGTGTAATAATCTCTAGCTATATACAGACTAAATCCACTTTCTATTCATATCAGTAATACATGAAAGTGTTTCCCACACCTTCAAACAGCATGTGTTTTTAGACCTTTGTGCTTTTGTCAATCTAGTAAATAATGCATAGAATTGTAGCATAGGGCAGGTTAATATGAAGTTTTAAAATTATGAGTGCATTTATATAGTATTTACATGACTATCATATTCTCTCAAGGGATTTACATTGTAATTCAAGATTAGTTGAGCATAAGTTAATAAACTCTTAAAGTATTAGTCAAATCTTCTTATGCAAAGCTCTGAAAGATTCTTTGGAAAAAAAAAAAGAAAACAACTATAATGTACCTGGAGATACACTACAGGGAATTCATAATATTCTTTCCTCAAATAGTAATATAGTTAAAGCAATGTATTTACTCATTTCCTTTTTTATTCACCCTGATGTATGTATTTGCCAGAATATATAAACCATAAAGCTTAATTAAACAATCATTTTCTTCCTATTTGCCTTATTTGTTTGCTTTTATCAGTCACTTTTTATTTTTATATAATTTGAAATAATTTAAAGCTTCTGCAAAACTAGCACAAAAACTTCTATTGTACTACAGGAAAATCATAAAAATCAGAAATCATTGATAAACATTGATACATATTACAATACCCATTGATAAATACTGTTATCTAATCTACAGTCCATATTTATCTTGAATTGGCCTACTAATGTTCTTTATACCTACATTCTCCCTCCCCAGACTGTAATTTACTCCAAGATAACTCCTTAGTTTTAGTTGTCACATTTCTTTAGTTTTATTTAATGTGAAATTGTTCCTTAAAATTTCATTGTGCTTCATAATCTGACATTTTTGGAAAGAACTGATTAGAGACTTTGTAAATTGTTCGATTTGGGTTACCTTTGTTTATTAACTCTTTAAGATGACTAGACAATGTTGTATTTAATTACATTGCAATGTACTTACAAAGTTGAATTGCTTTTTCTTAAGAGTTAAGCTGATCTAACTTAGTCATTTATGGAGGACTTTTATCACAGTTTAAGTGCCCAGACTTTGGAGTAAGATTTAGATTTGCAATCTACATTTTTTAACAATCAGTTGCACTAATCCTCTCCAAGTTTCAGTTTTCTAATATGTAAAATAGATAAAATGATGAGAAAAAGACAGCACATGAAAGCATTTGGTAAAGTGCTTCCCAGGTAACACAGTAGTAAAGAATGCTCTTGCCAATGCAGGAGTCACAAGAGACATTGATTTGACCCCTGGGTCAGGAAGATCCCCTGGAGAAGGGAATGGCAACCTGTTCCAGTATTCTTGCCTGGGAAATTCCATGGACAGAGGAGCCTGGTGGGTTACAGCCCATGGGTTTGCAAAAGAGTCGGACATTACTGAGTGACTGAGCGTGAGCACTGACACATAAAAACAAAGCTTCATATTAGTAAAAGATTGGGTATTTTTATCTTGCCTGATGGAAAGTAACACAAAAAGTGACAAACTTTTTTAAGAGCATTAAATAAATGACAGTACCACCAATATTCAGGAAAGAATAAAAGTGAGTCATATTGTTTTTTTAAACTTGAGGACCCTTGAATTATTTATATTTCCAAGTTCCAAGTATTAGGTCTTTTTAATGTCTCATTTTCTTAGTGTATAGGGTTTTGAATTTAACTTTCCAAAGCAAAATATCTGTTTACATTTTTAATATAGTTCTTTTTGAAATAATAATCATAAGCAAAGGATTTATTTCTGATAGTGTAGAATTTAAGACAAGGGTTTACTATAATTTTGTCATTCAAAATTATGTATTTACTTATATGCTGTATATAACTTACATATTTGTTTACTAATATAGTAGTACTTTCTAAAAGTAGATCAAGAAGGTCAATCTAGCTTCCAGTATAGCTGAACTGACAATAAGAGTAATGATTTTGATTAGGGCTCTGGAAACAGAGGTTCAATCAGAGCTGGAAGAGTAGGCATTTTTAGCTTATTGCTTGATTCAGGATAGATGGCATGAATTATCTTGATCTAAGTTCTATCTTAGGAAATCAGTCCTAAATATTCATTGGAAGGACTGATGTTGAAGCTGAAACTCCAATAGTTTAGCCACCTGATGTGAAGAGCTGACTCATTTGCAAAGACCCTGATGCTGGGAAAGATTGAGGGCAGGAGAAGGGGACGACAGAGGATGAGATGGTTGGATGACATCACTGACTCAATGGGCATGAGTTTGAGTGAACTCCAGGAGTTGGTGATGGACAGGGAAGCCTGGCGTGCTGCGGTTCATGGGGTCGCAAAGAGTTGGACACGGCTGAACAACTGAACTGAACTGAAGCTCTGTGTTTAGCAACTTTCAGTGACCCCTTCTTGTCAATTTCCCAGGGATCTTCTGTCCTTGCCATGTTAAACTTGTAACTGTTTTGTTACAGCTTTTGCTGCCCTGCCATATTCATGTAAAATTGTCCTTTCCTCAGTGTGAAGAACCCATATACTTTTAGGGAAAGTTAATCCATCAGCAAGTCATTTGGGATTATTTAAATGTTAAATTTTCCTTAAACATTTCCAATCAAGAAATAACATGTTATAATTAAATGTCCAATTGGTTACCTTCCAGGCTTTGTTTTGGTAGACAGCTAAAAAGTTTAGGCCAACTTGTGTGCATCAGAGTCCTGTGGGGTCTGTCGTGGCTAAGAGGATACTGTTCTTCAGAGCTTCTTTTTCTAGTTTTGAAGATCTCAGTACTGTCAGTGTACTCAGTCACACCTCAGTTCAGTCATTCAGTCGTGTCCGACTCTTTGTGACCCCATGAACTGCAGCATGCCAGGCCTCCCTGTCCATCACCAACTCCCGGAGTCCACCCAAACCCATGTCCATCGAGTTGGTGATGCCTTCCAACCATCTCATCCTCTGTTGTCTCCTCCTCCTGCCCTTAATCTTTCCCACCACCAGGGTCTTTTCAAATGAGTCAGGTCTTCGAATGAGGTGGCCAAAGTATTGGAGTCTCAGCTCCAACATCAGTCCTTCCAATGAACACCCAGGACTGATTTCCTTTAGGATGAACTGGTTGGATCTCCTTGCAGTCCAGGGGACTCTCAAGAATCTTCTCCAACACCACAGTTCAAAAGCATCAGTTCTTCAGTGCTCAGCTTTCTTTATAGTCCAACTCTCACATCCATACATGACCACTGGAAAAACCATAGCCTTGACTAGATGGACCTTTGTTGGCAAAGTAATGTCTCTGCTTTTTAATATGCTGTGTAGGTTGGTTATAACTTTCCTTCCAAGGAGTAAAAGTCTTCTAATTTCATGGCTGCTCTCACCATCCGCAGTGGTTTTGGAGCCCAGAAAAATAAAGTCGGCCACTGTTTCCCCATCCATTTACCATGAAGTGATGGGACTGGATGCCATGATCCTAGTTTTCTGAATGTGGAGCTTTAAGTCAACTTTTTCACTTTCATCAAGAGGCTCTTTAGTTCTTCACTTTCTGCCATAAGGGTGGTGTCATCTGCATATCTGAGGTTATTGATATTTCTCCTAGCAATCCTGATTCCAGCTTGTGCTTCTTCCTGTCCAGCATTTCTCATATTACTCTGCATATAAGTTAAATAAGCAGGGTGACAATTTACAGTCTTGACGTACTCCTTTTCCTATTTGGAATCAGGCTGTTGTTCCATGTCCAGTTCTAACTGCTGTTTCCTGACCTGCATACAGGTTTCTCAAGAGGCAGGTCAGGTGGTCTGGTATTCCCATCTCTGTCAGAATTTTCCACAGTTTATTGTGATCCACACAGTCAGGTACTCACATCAAATCCAAGGAGAAGAGACGGCCAGCTCTGCAGGGCAGAATGGACTGCCCGCCTGGGGAAAGCACGGGGCGCTGTGCGGGTGTAGACGGTGACGGTCTGTGACACCGGGAGGCGGACAGGCTGCGACCTGGGGCCTGGGATGCTTTGCTGCGGTGCTTGCCCTTGGACAAACATCGTCTCAGGCAACAGAACACAAAGAAGCTACACAGGCATAAAAATAACTGCAAGCATGAGTCGTTGGGGGCAATTATGAACAATAAGAGACAAAAAGGCCAAAATATTACTGTCACTTCCCATGGGCCAGCAGCAAAGGCAGGGTCCTGAGCATGATGAACGCAGCCAGCACCGCCAAAGCGATGGGAGGACGCCCGAGCCGCCCGTCTCGCCGTCCGCACTGTCCGACTGTCCGCTGAAGGCAAGGTAGGCAAGGCCGGGCCAAGGGGAAGAAAGGGCGAGAGTGGAGGTGCAGCGGCCCTTCCAGCAGACACAACCCGAGCCTCGGGGCTCCTCCAGGCGAAGCTTCTGTAGGTTAGGCACAGCGCCCCTGACGGAGCCGGCGCCTCATGCGCGCATGCGCGGCGCTGGAGGGCGCCTGCTCTTACACAGCCCGGCGAGGCCCTTGTTTGCAGAACATGGCCGCGAGCCTGGGCGGCGCCATCTTGTTGCTTTCCCCACACCACCCCGCAGGCTCCACCCACAAATCTGACCCTTTTGTTGATGTTGTTTAGTTTCTAAGACCTGTTCGGCCTTTTGAGACCTCATGGACTTTGGCCCACCAGGCTCCTCTGTCCATGGGATTCTCCAGGCAAGAATCCTGGAGAGGTAGCCATTCCTTTCTCCACAGGGTCTTCCCAGTCCCGGGACTGGTCCCGCGTCTCCTGCACGGGCAGGCGATTCTTTACCGCTGAGCCGCGAGGGAAGCCCATAACCTCACCCCGGTATAACTGAGCAGTCCGCACTCCCGCCCTTGCGGGTGAGCAGGGGCATGTGGTAGTTTTTCTTGCTCCCTTTTGATGCAGCGCAAGTCTCCATAAAGCCTTGCCTGAAGCCGCATCTGGCCTCTTACCAAGTTCTGTCAGTTACGGAGCCCAAGAGCCCTGATGGGAAACAAGATTGTCTGGCTCGAATGTGCCTGTGGCAATTTTGCACTGGGTAATTACAGCAGAACAGAATTTTCATTTTAAAGTATGGAGGCTTGAATTAAACATATCTAAGTTTGTTTTGACCTCTGTCAATAAAAAGAAAAAAGAAAAAAAGAAAAATTATGACATTTCAAATATTAGATAAGGTGATTTGCATGCTTTTTTGTCTTTATAAAGTTCTGGTCAGTCAATTTTCTCTGAGTATATACACTATGAGTGTATACACTATAACACAATGTATATATATATATATAAAATACATAGTGTTATTAACTTTTCATATCTATTTGCAACAGCTGCAAAGTCACTTTTGAAAAACAATTTAAATGGCTTGCAAATTGATACCTTTTCCTTTTTGAATTAAAAAAAATTTTTTTCTGTAGGACACTCTTACAATTTTCAAACACCAGTGTACTTTATGTTTCTATGTTTTAGAAACAATCTTTTCTGTGAAATTGAAATTTGATGTTCAGATACATTGATAGTTAAGTGACCAGGACATTTGAAAGAACTAGAGATTATTGCAGAAGTGTCCTTCTAGTGGGGAGGCATTCATACAAAAGAGACATTTTTTATTTAAAAGTTAGAAACCTTGTATTGCTATTTAAATAATTTTCTCACATAATAATTCCTTAAAAATTGTAATTGCTTTAAGTTTTACTACTGATTGTAGTCATTTGTGTGATTGTATCTGTGATTGATGCATTTTAATGTTGCAATTGTCTGGCAATTTTCTATGATTATATACATGACTGGTGTTCTTTATGGCACAATTGTGTGGTAATAGTCTGATTATGTTGCTATTAAGATTTTTACATAACTTTCTCGCAGGACACATTTGAAGAATAGAGGCTTTATTTCTAAAAGTAGAAGCTCTTCTGTAAAGCATTCAGTGCCCCTGCTTGGTGAGATTTCTCTATATCAAGTCAACAGACTGAATGATTTTCAAAAGAAACCCACCATGTTCATTTTCCATATTATAGTATTGAGAATGTTATTTAGAAATTTATATGGTTAAAATGAACTTATTAAAATGAAATCAGGAAAAAACAAAAACAAAAATGGGTCTAATGACAAAAATGGAAATGGAGTGGCCAGCATATTTGGGAAAAATCTCACAGAAAACAGCATCGGGAAGGCCCCGGGAAGAAAGAGGAACTAATCAAACGGTGCGGAGAGGTCAGCAGACGTACGTTCTGAGAAGAGTCTCCTACACCTGGACTTAGAGACAACAAACCTGGCCTCCTTGAGAGCAGATTCGGTGATGTTAAGGGAACAGAAAACATGTGGAAATGTAACTAGGAATCAAAGGGAAAGTCCCTTTGCGAATTAACTGTGAAAAAAAGAGAAAGATAATATTCGTAATATATGGAGAAAACTAAGAACAGTTTTTGTTTTATCTTTTTAACAACACCAGCGATGATTATACACTGTAAGAAAACAAAAGAAAATGATAAAAAATACTGAACGAAACTGTCCCTTAAGAGGTCCAGGGTTTCATTAAAGTTCAAAGGAAGTATGGAACGGGTGACTGTACTCAGATCTTATATCTCACTGAGCTATAGAAGGAGAAGGGGACGGCAGAGGATGGGATGGTTGGATGGCATCACTGACTCAATGGACATGGGTTTGGGTAGACTCCGTGAGTTGGTGATGGACAAGGAGGCCTGGTGTGCCGCAGTCCATGGGATCGCAAAGGGTCGGACACAACTGAGCGACTGAACTGAACTAAGCTATAGGAGAGGGAGGGAAGGTGGTCAATGAAGATAAATTCACTTGTGGGCGAAGGAAGTTGAAGGAATTTCTGCTATGTGGTGACTATGTTTGCTTTGGTTTAAGAAAATACATTTTCTCTACAGAGAAAGGGCATGAAGGTCTGTGTGGGGGTGAGGATGGAATGAGAATTGGGAGATGATCGAGGAGACCTGGCCGGTAGAAAGGCTGCTGGAGAATGCCGCAGAAGGATTACTAACTGAACTTGTACAGAGGAACTTTGCTTTGGCACATACATATGGTTTTTTCCCAGCAGTGGTTAATGGTCTGCATATAAAAGCAAGCAAGCAAATGTCCTGAGTGATTTTCTAATGATGATTGACAGATCCCGTGTAGTGGAAGGACAAGCAAACAAACTAGTTGTGTGTGGAGTGCTTAAAAGTGATGGACCACAGGGTCATAAAAATGCAGTCACCAGGAGGCTGATGACATAGATGAGATGCCAGCATTCCCGTATCTGGTGAAATTCAACCATTTGTATGAGACTATGAAAGGAAAAAGGCTTACAAGGTAAATATTTCCAATGAGAAAATAAGATTTTCGATTCAACGGTTTTGGCAAAATCACAACATAATTGATTTTAAAATCAATAGCGTTATTCATAATTCTTTTAATTCGCTTATTTATTCTTTTGAAATGTAAAAGATATCTGAGACATAACTGATTAATTCATTTTAGTGGTTCTCAAGAGTGTCTCTCATTTAAATTTTTTTTAATTGAAATATAGCTTATTTATAATGTTGTTTTAACAAAGTGTATATAGCAAAGTGATTCAGTTATACAAATGTACATATATATATATACACACACACAAATACATTTATTCTTTGTTTTTACATTCTCTTCCATTATAGGTTATCACAAGATATTGACTATTGTTCCCTGTGCTATACAGTAGGTCTTTGTTGGTTATTTATTTTATTTATAATGTATGCACCCATGCTAAGCCACTTCAGTCATGTCTGACTCTGTGACTCTATGAACTGCAGTCCGCCAGGCTCCTCTGTCCATGGGGTTCTCCAGGCAAGAATACTGGAGTGGGTAGACATTTCCTTCTTTAGGGAATCTTCCAGACCCAGGGATAGAACCTGTGTCTCTTATGTCTCCTGCATTGGCAGGTGGGTTCTTTACCACTAGTGCCACCTGGGAAGCCAATGTGAGCCAAAGGGAAAGCCACTCAGTTGTGTCCGACTCTTTGTGACCCTGTGGACTATACAGTCCATGGAATTCTCCAGGCCAGAATACTGGAGTCGGTAGCTGTTCCCTTCACCAGGGGATCTTCCCAACCCAGGGATCGAGCCCATGTCTCCTGCATTGCAGGTGGATTCTTTACCAGCTGAGTCACAAGGGAAGTCCAAGAATACTGGAGTGGGTACCCTAAGCCTTCTCCAGTGGATCTTCCTGACTCAGGAATTGAACTGGGCTCTCCCAGGCGGATTCTTTACCAACTGAGCTATCAGGGAAGCTATCAGGGAGATCCATAATAGTGCATATATTTTAATCCCAAGGCTTCCTTTGTGGATCAGCAGGTCTAGAATCTGCCTGCAATGCAGGAGATCTGGGGTTGATCCCTGGGTTGGGAAGATCCCCTGGAGAAGGGAATGGCTATCCACTCCAGTATTCTGGCCCAGAGAATTCCATGGACTGTATAGTCCAAGGGGTTGCAAAGAGACAAGACTGAGTGACTTTCACTTTTTTAATCCCAAACTCCTAATTTATCCCTCCACCCAACAGTGCCTGTCTTTTGAGGGAATTTTCCATTATAGATTATAATCTCCCAATATCATTGTATCCACAGTCCCGCAAAATGTTGTTTCACTTTGATTAGGTCCCCCTCTTTACTCTGAGTCTGTAAATGGCTGCCTATAAAAAAGGAAGATTTCAGCATTTTCTCCCATTGTGTTTTTCTCAAGAATCACAGACCTGTATTGTGTGTTTTCCCAAAATCTGAAAAAATATTGTTTCATGCTTATCCAATGTTCCTGTTTTTTTATGGCAAGAAGGCAAGTCCAGCACCAAGGCAAATTCTATCAAAGTTAGAAGTAGAAATCATTTTTATTTACAGTTCACAATTAAATAATTTCTTGTTTGCTCAGTCACTTCAGTTGTGTTTGACTCTTTACGACCCTATGGACTGTAGCCCACCAAACTCCCCTGTTCATGGGATTCTCCAGGCAAGAATACTAGAGTGAATTGCCATACCCTCCTGTAGGGTATCTTCCTGACTCAGGGATTGAACCCACATCTCCTGAGTCTCCT